ATTAGGGGCCACAAGGGGCCAGAATGCTAAATCTTTGATGCTGTATATCTCGAAAGGGAGAAATATTTTGATAAGCAATATTGAACAAAAGTTGTTCAAAATAATGTTCTGAACAGTATGCAACCTTTCATTTTTTGCTAAACGTCCCCATTAAGGAGTTGAAGGGTTGGCCCCTAAATATTTCTTTTGCTTTTAACTCAAAAACGAAATAGAATTTCTGAATAGTTGTTGAACAAAAAATGTTCAAAATCAAAAGATCTTTCAGATGAGATCCCGAAAAAGGGGCTGGGTACTCGAATTAGGGGCCAAGAGGGGCCAAAAGTCTTTTTTCGATAACTTTTTATCAGTTAATATTTTGTAATACATTACTGAAGCAAAGATGTTTATCTCAACCATCTACAACTATATATTATGGTTTTTATGTCGTATGGTACATGATTAGGGGCCACAAGGGGCCAGAATGCTAAATCTTTGATGCTTTATATCTCGAAAGGGAGAAATATTTTGATAAGCAATATTGAACAAAAGTTGTTCAAAATAATGATATGAACAATATGCAACCTTTCATTTTTTGCTAAACGTCCCCATTAAGGAGTTGAAGGATTGGCCCCTAAATATTTCTTTTGCTAATAGCTCAAAAACGAAAAAGAATTTCTGAACAGTTGTTGAACACTAAATGTTCAAAATCTTAAGATCTTTAAGATGAGATCCCGAAAAAGGGGCTGGGCACTCGAAATAGGGGCCAAGAGGGGCCAAAAAGTCTTCAATCGATAACTCTTTATCAGTTAATATTTTGTAATACATTACTGAAGCAAAGATGTTTATCTCAACTATCTACAACAATATATTATGGTTTATATGTCGTATGGTACATAATTAGGGGCCACAAGGGGCCAGAATGCTAAATCTTTGATGCTTTATATCTCGAAAGGGAGAAATATTTTGATTAGCAATATTGAACAAAAGTTGTTCAAAATAATGTTCTGAACAGTATGCAACCTTTTATTTTTTGCTAAACGTCCCCATTAAGGAGTTGGAGGGTTGGCCCCTAATTATTTCTTTTGCTAATAGCTCGAAAACGAAAAAGAATTTCTGAACAGTTGTTGAACAAAAAATGTTCAAAATCTTAAGATCTTTAAGATGAGATCCCGAAAAAGGGGCTGGGCACTCGAATTAGGGGCCAAGAGGGGCCAAAAGTCTTCAATCGATAACTCTTTATCAGTTAATATTTTGTAATACATTACTGAAGCAAAGATGTTTATCTCAACCATCTACAACTATATATTATGGTTTTTATGTCGTATGGTACATAATTAGGGGCCACAAGGGGCCAGAATGCTAAATCTTTGATGCTTTATATCTCAAAAGGGAGAAATATTTTGATAAGCAATATTGAACAAAAGTTGTTCAAAATAATATTCTGAACAGTATGCAACCTTTCATTTTTTGCTAAACGTCCCCATTAAGGAGTTGAAGGGTTGGCCCCTAAATATTTCTTTTGCTAATAGCTCAAAAACGAAAAAGAATTTCTGAACAGTTGTTGAACACAAAATGTTCAAAATCTTAAGATCTTTAAGATGATTTGAATAAAAAGGGCTGATTTCTAAATTAGGGGTCGTTAGGGGCAAAAGGCCTATTTTTTAAGTCTTTAATGTTCAATGTCTTTTTACAGATTGTGGTAAATCATTATTTTAGAATGAAAATCGCAATCAAAATCTTATCTCATCTCATCAAGAATTGGACGGAAGACCCACTCGTTGCTCGCAACGAGATCGTATCTAGTTATTATTATTTTTTTTTTCTTACCGATTTTGTGCACGCGATTTCTCGGAAACGGCTCGCCCGATTTTCACCAAACTTTCAGATCTGATAGATATTCATCTGAACCTTGTCGGAAATTTTCATCGTTGATGACGTCACTTCTGGCCGTGAGATATGGACGATTTTCTGATTTTTAGAGGGTCAGCTTGTCCTGAGATCTCCTCCTAAACGACTGAAGATATCGACTTGAGATTTTCAGTGAAGGTAGAGGAAGGATAGTAGATGTGACATTTTGCATATAGAGCTTTCCAGGTAAAAAGGCATCGACGTTCGGCTCATAAGCATCTCGCAAAAATTGATACGTTTTCTTTTATATCTTTTTACTGGTTAATATTTTGTTAAGACATGTATAATAAAAAATGTGCAATATAGTAGGACCTTTCATTTGATATTAAGAAAATGGGGTTAACCCTTCAATTAAGGGGCATGGAGGGGCCAAAAGTCTCTCGTCTTTAACTCTTTAATGATCAATATTTTGTGATACACTACTGAAGCAAAGATATTCAACTTAACAATTTGCAACAATATATTCTAAAACTTTGATCATATGTTACGTAATAAAGGATCACAGGGGGCTAGAATGCTATATCTTTGATGCTTTATATCTCGAAAAGCGTGAATATTTTGATAAGCAATATTGAACATAAGATGGTCAAAATAATGTTCCCAACAATATGCATACTTTTAATATGTTCATTTTCTCCGTTTTTTATTCATTTTCTACTCTTCCGTTGTAAACCGGAAGTACATGAAATTTAAATACATGTACATATATTTAAAACACTTAATATGTATAGCGATTTTTTTTTCATTTCTCTAATGAATGTTTTTTATTGTTCATTATAGAGATTTAAGGAATGCGTTAGCAAACGTTACTTCCGGTTTGATATTTCCACTGGAAGTACGGTTCGTTCAAACCGGAAATTGTCTAAAAATGAGTATTTTCCATCGAAACTTTCAGGGATGATATTTTCCATCTTTCATGATTACTGCATGATGTAGAGTTGAAAGAAGTTTTGAGCACATACGGTCGCACCGGAAGTGAGGAAGTAGAACAGGAAGTTGATTGGAATTGATAGATCCTACATTTTATTTGTGTTTCTAAACATATTTTGAAGAATTCTTGTGCCTTTCTGACATTTTTTATTATATCAGTGGAATTATCCCAACACAGGTCTTATTCCATCAGATATCGGACGGAAGACCTACTCGTTGCTTGCAACGAGATCGCATCTAGTTATTATTATTTTTCTTCTTCTTCTTCCTGGAACTTTTTTGTCCGGGAATGATCTTGTAAACTGTTCGTCCGATGTAAGTAAAACCTTTTTAAGGTAAGTAGACATGTTATGTAGATTTGCGGAATCAAGGTCATTTTGCGCGCACGTGCTTGCAAGAGCGCGCACGTGCAACACATGAAATGACCAAAATAATAGATATAGCCACAACTATTCTATTTTTGTATGAAATGCTTTGAAACTCATAATGTGAGGATATATTAGTAGTATAGACATGACGACATGGTGAAAATAGCAAGATCTCACGCGCATGCACGTGCACTTCGCTCTGATTGGCTGCAACTAAAGTCTCAATATCTTTCTTGTTTTTTGACGAAATCCTTTGAAATTTTGAACACAGCCATGCACTAGGATATCCTACAACATGAAATAAAGCAATTATCATGAAAACACGTGCATGCACGTGCGCTGCAATCTGATTGGCTGAAACTTTAAACAGCTATAACTCCCTTGGTTTTCAACCAAACAGGATGGGATTTGGAACATAGATAGATATAATGGACTTCTACAAGTAGGTATGGTCACCATGCATATGCATACACGTGCGTGTACATGTGCTGCAATCTGATTGGCCGAAACTTTAAACAGCTATAACTCCCTTAGTTTTCACCCAAACGGGGTGGAATTTAGAACATAGATAGATGTAATGGACTTCTACAAGAAGGTATGGTCACTATGCTCATGTATGCACGTGCGTGCACGTGGAATTAGTAAAATCAAACTTGAATCACACTTGAATGCGCGTATTTTTTAAAATAATTTTGGATTAAATACTTTAATATTCAGTGTATTAAAAATATAGATTGTGTAGAGAAGATGATATGGTCATGATAAAATGCATTCAAATGTGCACGCGTGCAATGCTAAAGTTTAAATGATTTTTGTACACTTCTTTGTAAATGTTGTTAAAATCTCAGATGCATAGAGTTTGTTTTATTTAATGAAGCTTACAGGAATATGGCACCAAAAGGGAGTTGGGGAGCGTTTGGGGAACATCTGTAACGGTCCCCGTTACAATTAGCACTAGTTGCTATTTTTTTTGCGGACAATACGATGATTTAGCCACCTTTAGCCACCTTCGGGCTCAGTGAACATTGTACTCCTTAAGTATCTAAATCATCGTATTGACCTAAAAACAGCAATAATTATATGAGTACATAGGTTTTAATGTTATGGTACATTGGTATAATGTTATAGTAATTTGTTATGTTATGATACATTGGTATGGTGTATAGTAAAACGATATAAGATTATGGTACATTGATATTATGTTTTAGTACATTAGTACATGGATAATGTTATGGTACATTGGTATAATGTTATTGTAAGTTGGTATAATGTTTTGATACATTGATACAATATCATGGTACATCTCCATAATTGATATTACTGTACACTGTTAGAATTTTATAGTTAATTAGTATCATGTTATTATTCATTGCTATGTTATCATAGTATATTGGTATTATCATAATGTTATATTATATTGACATTATATAATACATAAGGTGTAAGAAAAACAAAATTCAAACCTTCTTGTTTTCAGAGGGGGCATATATTTATTACTTTTTCTTTTATAACATTTTTATCACTTCTTGATTAAGAGCTTCAAGTTGTCATAATGTCAAAATCGTTTTATTAATTTTTGAAAATCAGTAATAAAAAATTGCAATTAAATTTTCAACCAGTAATTTTTTAAATTAGGTGAAAAAATGCTTTAAAACTGTAAATACGATTCATTTTACTAAAGTGTGACCCCCCCCCCCCCCCCAAGTTAGTTTACATCATATAAAATATGCTTAAATAATCTTCATTCCTTAAATATAAAGGATAAACATTTAAAAATGCATATACGCATTTTGAAATGTTCTTGATATGACTAACCGAAATCCTTGACCATTAAAGAAGACTTGTTTTTTGATTTAATTCTGGATCGAGGAGTGTATCTCCGGACCAGCCTGGCCACCTGATCGTAGGTATCCGTCATGAAGATTGTTCCAAACTCATTGTATACCCCCCTGTGAAATCGCGAATATGCCTTTCCTCCAACCTCGTTTCGCTGTTCAAAAATTTTGACGTTTTTGAAACCCCTCTCCTACAATGAATTGTTATAAGACAAAACTAACATCGTCGTCAATTTACATAATTTAATTGTAAAGTATTCATAACTCATGATACATTGCTTTTCACTGACCTTTAGAAGAGACGCCATATGTACTCCACTTATCCCTGCTCCAACAATGGCAATCCGATCATTAACAGATTTAGGACCTGATATCGCTGGATATCCCATAGTTATCATCTATTGCAATATAAAAATTTTTATTGACACATATGGAGATATTGAGATAATGAACAGTATTCAAGATCAAAACGTCCATAAAACAATACAAAAAATAGGAGCAGAGCAAACACGGACCTTCAAATCATGAGAGCTTGGACTATATGTTATGGAAGAGTAAGCATCCCCTGCTGACCGGTCACACCCGCCGTGTGCTCTTTGTCATGATCGGGGAATAACAGAAGGATCCGTCCTTAATTCAGTGTGTAAATAATGGACTAACAAGCAGTATGAAAACGTCAGTCAGTATTTTACTCAATGAGAAATTGTATTGACCATTATGATAGAACTTACGAAATAATTAGAAGATTGTTTATATTCTTGTTTCACCAACTTATTTTTCAATAATATACCTCGTTTTAGAAATTGAAATCTTGCTTATCGAATCAACTGAGATATATGAATTCCGTATACATGTGATGAAGGTATATTGCTGCAGAGGTAAGGGAAGTTGACAATTGTAAAGTTAAATTTATCATGTTTATCGTAGAGCTTGGTTGTTAGATAATTACCATTAATGTCTTTATTTTAATGCAATAAGTATTTTGATACCCCGGTTACCCATCAACTGGTTAATTTATTTCCAAAATCCTTTCAAAGCTGGAACACCTTATCTTATCCTCCTTCAATGAGTAAAAAGTCTGTAAAACAGTTTGTCGTGTGTTGCCACCTTTGTGACGTTTAATAATTTGTTTGAAATTCTCAAAAGTATTATTAATAATGACATATAATTTTTAGCAGACACAAGATATCAAGATGAGAAATAAAACCAATTTTGAAAAGGGAGATAATCCAAATTTACAGTAATTACCACTTAGATTTAACAGAAAAATCATGAAAATGGGTCTGAAAACGCTAAAACATAAATTTAAACAACAAACAAATGGCGGAGGCGGGGTGGCAGGAGGTAAATTACAAACTTTGAAACAACGTCCGTCCTCCAAGGATGTAGATGGGAGAAAAGGCAGAGTAACGGACCGCATGGTCAGAATTTCATTTGTTAGATTTTGATTGGTCAGATTTTGATTGGTCAATCTCTGCCTCTCCTACCACGGTAAGACATGGAACAAAATGACCATTACAAAGCACGGCTATACAGTATTTCAGACTTTCACATTCAAGGGGGACACTTATTGATTACAATAAAAATTTTTAAGTAAACTTAAATTTATTTATTTTAATGCAATAAGTATTTTGATATCCCGGTTACCCGTCAACTGGTTAATTTATTTCCAAAATCCTTTCAAAGCTAGAACACCTTATCTTATCCTCCTTCAATGAGTAAAAAGTCTGTAAAACAGTTTGTCGTGTGTTGCCACCTTTGTGACGTTTAATAATTTGTTTGAAATTCTCAAAAGTATTATTAATAATGACATATAATTTTTAGCAGACACAAGATATCAAGATGAGAAATAAAACCAATTTTGAAAAGGGAGATAATCCAAATTTACAGTAATTACCACTTAGATTTAACAGAAAAATCATGAAAATGGGTCTGAAAACGCCACTGTCTTGACCGAACTAGGGAAAGTTCAGACCCGCATGGGTACAAACTTGGCAAGTACAAAAGACTGCCTGAAACTTGTACTTAGGACTTGCCTAAAGTACTGTAAAAATTCACAATATTTTAGTAATCAACTTATACCGAAACAAACAAATTGGCAGACAATTTCCAACGATTTTCCTTCACAGAAAAAGGGATAAGTCGATCTGGAATGCATTGAAATACATTCATAGACATCAAATAAAAAAACGATGGAAAAAATCTCCATCTGCAGGGTAAAAGCTGAAACTAAAATGAAAAAACCCGAACGGGTTTAAACTTGGCAAGTACAAAAGACTGCCTGAAACTTGTACTTAGGACTTGCCTAAAGTACTGTAAAAATTCACAATATTGTAGTAATCAACTAATACCGAAACAAACTAATTGGCAGACATTCTTCCAACGAATTTACTTCACAGAAAAAGGATAAATCTGGAATGCTTTAAAATACATTCCTAGATATCAAATAAAAAACGATGGAAAAAATCGCCATCTGCATGGTAAAAGCCGAAACTAAAATGAAAAAACCCAAATGGGTTGAAACTTGGCAAGTACAAAAAACTGCCTGAAACTTGTACTTAGGATCTGCCTAAAGTACTGTAAAAATTAAACTAACAACAAAACAATCAAATTTGCTGATACTTTTTCCAACCGAATTTTCTTCACAGAAAAAGGATAAATCTGTTATACATTATTAGACATCCTAAATGCCTATCGTACTGTTAAAATAACAAAATGTTGTATAATTTCAAAGAATATCTATCTGAAAAATTGACGAACAATAAAAGTAACAAAATGGTGACAAACTTTTATGACTTAGATGTATATCTATTTTCTCGCTGAAATTAAAGCTCCGGCCCCTTATACTCCTATATAAATGAACATTCCCCTGACTGTTCAGATGAACTCCGTCGTGAACAAATTTACGACTGCAGTCTCCTTCACGGGGAGAAACGAAATAATTCCCATGTTCCCAAAATACGCAGTAACCCAGTGCTGGCAATGCATCTCTCAATATTGCGTTTACTTTGTCTGCAAATTATTGTACCCAAAACGAACACCAAATCGTGGCAATAATTTACAAACAATTATATTTGCAACTTTATAGCGGCGATGCATTACCGATACCACAGATTCAATTTCTGCAGCTAACAAGGTAGCGTCGGTACTAGTACTAATATCGTTCTCCCCAATCATTAGAACAACTACATCTGGACCTAAAGCAAACACGCTCTCCATATCCTTAGATATTACATCACGAACCTTTCTTCCACCCACACCCCTGTACAAGACGGAATGCGTTTCTCCAAGACCAAGGCTCGCAGAATACCTGATGTCACCATATTTCAAGAATTCATGAAAACGACGCACAATTGAATGTCCAAGAATGACAACTGAAGTTTTACTCATAGAAGACATAATGAAGTAATTTTACTCACCAAAATCTTGATAAAATAAATTACAAACATTGAAACAATATCCGTCCTCCAAGGATGTAGATGGGAGAAAAGGCAGAGTAACGGACCGCATGGTCAGAATTTCATTTGTTAGATTTTGATTGGTCAGATTTTGATTGGTCATTCTCTGCCTCTCCTACCACGGTAAGACATGAAACAAAATGACCATTACAAAGCACGGCTATACAGTATTTCAGACTTTCACATTCAAGGAGGACACTTATTGATTACAATAAAAATTTTTAAGTAAACTTAAATTTATTTTTGTAGTAAAATATACAAATATTAAACAGACGTGATTGACTCTGAGGTATCTTTTATCTCAAGCTCACCGGGATATATCATATCAAATAAGAATGAAAGCAACCATTGCTAATTGACAATACGTCGTCAATAGCACAATTGGTGCCCATGGGAACTCCAATAGATTGGTCTCCAACAAAAAACATAGATATTGACAATTAGAAAGGAAAGCATCTTTTTGATGTCAGCTTCAGAGTACTTTTGTGTACACTCAAGATGTTGTTAACAAAATAATTTTGCAAATGACCAATGACAAGGTAAGTAAATTTACGAGTTCGTTTTTAATTGAAAAACCAAACTGTCAATGATATAAAAATTCTGGACTTGAATTTATTGTTTGGAATGGTTGTATATAAAGTTGAAAAGTTGTAAGTTTTTAAGCTGTCGATTTTGGTAAAACTTTGTAATTTCATAGTGTCCTAAAGTTCCTTTGAATACTGTAAATTGAAGAATTAAGACAATATTTTTGAACATATTTATGCCAAATAAAATAGTTAAAAAATAATTTTTTCCATCTGAGAATGGCAAATTATGCCAAAATTGTTTTGATTTTAAACTTAATTCTATTTCTACAAAGATAAAGAGTAGAAGATATGAAAATTAAATTAATATAAAATTTTGCATTTTGTGATGTATGTTTTGGAAATGCTGAGGAAGGTTGCCTCTACAAAAATTGTGAATTTCATGACCTCTAGCGTCAGGTATTCTGGTTTTAGGGCGAGGCTCTGTTGATGATATAGTGAAAATGCATTAATTCTTTGAAAATCTTCTCTGCTCCTTGGTATTTAAGCCAATGAACTATGTACATAATTATGATGAGGAAGATTGCCTCTTTGAAATCTGCTTTTTGTTGGTATTGATCAAACATTTATAATGAGCAAGAGTGCCTTTTCCAAAATTGTGAAATGTCTGGCCCCAGGGTCAAGGGTTGGGCACAACTGATTAAAGAGTGAAACATGCATATTTTCTTTGTTCCTCTGCTTTGTCTTTGGGTATGAAGTAATCAAAGTAAATATGCCAAGGGTATAATTATAATGAGCAATGGTGTCTATTTAAAAATTGTGAAATTCATGGCTTTTGGTTCAAAACACGAACCAAATTGATTTTTTGGAAAGTTGTTACATGATGCTCAGGTGACTTATAAGAAGGCCCTTGGGCTTCTTGTGTAAGAATTTCAATTTATACAAATAGTTTTGAAGTATTATTACAGAAATGAATGCTTTAATACAGCTTACTAAAATAGAAGAGACATAAACCTGAATTTGACTTTTTAATATGTTTTAAAATTTGGACATTAATTGATTTTGTGTGATTTGTGTACATGCGCTATATATGTATATGAAGTCTTTTACTACGCTTATATCGCTTAATAATTTTAAAACTCGTACATGTAATTTTGTATTAAGTTCTAGAGTTAAAACCTTTTTATTTAAATCATAACCATTTTTTTTAAAATTAATTGTTATGAATTTACAAAGGATAATTTGCAAACCACATTTTTGGCAGATTGGCTCCTGCTCTTTAGATAAAAAATTGTTTTAAAAATTATAGAATTTCATCCTATTTATACATTAGTATTACATCCTTTTCCTTTTAGAAATGGTTTGGGACTATAAAACTTGAATAAACTTAAAACAGCCCCCCCCGAAAAAAAAGCCCTTTGACTTGTGTCCAGTCAGTAAATATAATTAAACATTAGTGACTAATTATTGCCATTTCACTATTCAACGTTAACGTTCTAGTTTAAAATTAACTCACCCTATTTGCGTTACACCGAAAAGGCCTTTGGAATCCTTCAACGTATCCCTTATCTGAAAGTCCAGCTGCCCATACTATGTACAGCGCCAGCAACATCTTCATCATGAATAAAAATCTATAATTCTTTGAAATAACCTGTAAAACTTTAAAAAGGTGTCAATCCCTCCAAAAGTTCACTGCGTGCAAACATACAAATAAGTGACATTAGAGACATAGTTAATCATGATCGGTCGAAAAATTGTCAAATTAATGTTTCACTGTGTTTTTATGAATAAACAACTTTATTTCAAAGTGGTGTTTGGGTTAAGGATAGCCTTTTCGGAAGATCTAAAATGTTTATTCAACTTGTATAATTTACGTGATGTTTTTTTCCTTTGAAGATCACTGTGGTTTTATTTTTGATACACCATGACTAACTGTGATCTAACAACAATGCTCTATCAAAAATAGAGCACGCCAGAGTGATGATGCACCAATTCTTATGACCCTTGACCATATACACTGAATAAGGAATAAATATACATGTAAAACAAAGTCATGTAAATATAGTTGAGGTATACCTTTCCTAACGTAAGAAAATTAAATTTTGCACGCGCCAATTTTTAAATCCAAAATGGAATTTACACAGCAAATTTTTTATTGATTCAGAAGGCTTTTCATTGACTCTCAAAAATTTGAAGTGTGATTTGAAGTTTATTAATTCCAAAACAAATTGCTACATCCAGTCAAAAACTCGCTGTACATCTTGGTCAAAAGTGGACATTCTCCCTTGCGGTAATCGTTAAACGTTTAACACGCATTCTCAATTTATAGTCTCAATTCGCTTTAAATAATGTACCGCGTTTTAAGTAATATAATATTTCAAATAAATTTTATTTTCTGCCAGTCTTACGAACCTTTGTTGGTTGTTGATTAAAATACAACAATTGTTTGTTGTAGCTTGAATGATTGTCTTAGGAGAAAATCACATTTTATAGCAGAAATCGATATTTACGTTACTGTCGCCGATCATCTTGTAGTTTTTATTTTAAACCAAAAAGAATTTTTAAATCATTAACATATCTTTTTCTTAGTAAGATTGTCCTACATTTGAGTTATATTTTCTGAATATCACACCCTTCACACATATGCGTATCACAAATTTTGAAAAATTTTAATATATTTATCAATTTTTGATGTCACCGCAAAATTATTACTTTTCTATTTGGAAATTCAAAAGGACTGGAAGGAATGATGAACTAACTCAATAGGACTAAGTTGTAACTTTTTAACATCATGAGCACCCTTTCTATTGCATGGAAAGGTAAAAAAGACACTGTTTATCTGTGTTTATGAACAATAGCCCCCCTTTTCTTATAAGTCCAATGGTTAAAAAATTCAACGATATTTACGTGTTACTATTTATTCACAAATTAAGTAAGAGAACTACACTGTTCCCTATGGGCCAAATTGCCTTACACTCAAGCACTAGAATATGCCTTTAATTAACAGTGGAATAATTGAACAATGGCATTAAAAGTTACGATAAATCTCAGAAAGATATTTACGTTACCAATATTTACGTTACCATGTTTTAAAGTAAATAAGTATTAATTTCTAAAGCTGTTTGAACAGATTTGCGAGTGAATCTTTATGATGTAAATACTAAGAACATGAAGAAATATACACTGCTTCTTAAAATGTCATTTTTTTCTGTAACAAGAGTGCAGAAATGCAAATGGAAGTGCACATGGAAAGGTGAACATTTTTACTCAATATCTTGTGCATCCGTGTGATTTGAAAATTGAATTGACATAATATTATTCATAAGTAGAATCGTGGTTTAATGATTAAATCTTTCCATTTTGAGCAATTGGTTAATATTGCATAGTTTCAAGTGTAATGCACGTTATCATTCGGAACGTAAATCTGAAACAAAACTTTCTTCAAGTCTGTATTTTGCTGTTTGTTTGAACTGATAGTGATCGTCAACTTTAAAAAATGGTTATATACACTTGAATTGTATACCAAGCTAAATATTTTGAAGAAAAAAATATCATTTTTGTAGGAAATATAATTCCAGAAAATAGGCGCTGCGTTGCATGCAGTGGGGGGGGGGGGGGTTCTACATCGGGTAAAATAAGAAAGACGGCTGTAGGTGTTGTGTGTCAAGATACTGGTTGAAATTGAATCCATTTCCATTTTTGTTGCTTTGCAAGAAATACATTTAATAACATGTATAAAATTTGCACCTAATTTTCCCATTTGCATTGTTGCATAGACATATGACTTAGGAGGTATGCGTCTATGCTTTAATGGTACTGAATATTCAATTTACGTTATATGAACGTAGAATGTATATTGCTCTATAGAGCACATGTGATGTGCAACTGTAATTATTGACAAACTTTTTAAGGGTGGTGGGCGATCTTTGTTTTATTTTTGAGATTTGACGATAAAGTTTTCACAAAAAATTAAGCATTTCTGGTATGTAGCAACAAGGGGGGTGGGGGAGCAGTCCCACCCTGCCCCCCCCCTTTTTTTCTCCAGCCTTACTTCAACTTCAGTAAATGTTCAGTGAAAGGCTGGTTGCCCCCACCCCCACTAATAGTGATGTACGGAAAATATATTGTAATAATTGGTAATGAATGTAGTTGGCATTGAAAAAAGTTCGCCTCCCCCCTCTAGGATTTTCGACTTTGAGCAAGTTTTCTCACCCCGCCCCCCCTTTTTTTTTGCCTTGTCAACTTTCCAAGTAAGTAAAAAAAATTATCTGGCTACCCCCCCCCCCCCCCTTACACACACACACGCACATACACTTTCAAAAACGATGCTATGTGAATGACTGCATTTGAAATAATCAATAGATTAAATGGTGGAAGGGGGGGGGGGGTGTTATGAATTACATGAGTCCTCTATAGATAAATCATTTATAACTTGAATTTTCAATTCAACCCTTTGTAAGAACACAGATTAGAAAATTCATAAAATTCAATAATTTGAAATAATATAATCATTTTCCCCCGAATATACTTTTATTTTTGTATGATATCTATGTGCGATATTTACGTGATATTTAACAAACACTTCGTAATCAGGTAATGGCGAAATATTTAACCTTTTTATATTCTAAATAATGTGCGTTTCTCTGAGCAGATTAATAAAGAATCAATGTAGCATTTTAGGGAATATTATCATTATTAAGCTTATCATCGAATGTGCTAAAACTTGTTAAAATAAAAAGAAAATAATTTCATTTAAATGAAAATTATGTCCGTTTTATTTTTACTAATAATTGAATCAAAGATTGTACACCCCTTTTACAAATGTGCTTAAACGTTTCATAAATGTTTGTAGTTAACAAAATTTGATGTGTATTATATTAATTTTGTATTTAAAAAAAAATCTTTCGTTTCCAAATATGGCTTTTCAACATCACGTAAATATCTTGGTGTAAACTTAGCCCTCCAACCGCTTTTATTTCGAAGGAGGCCAACAAAACACTGCATGAAGTATGTAAATCAAATTGCGATTTTTAATTACTATACACTTTCATGTTTCAAATGACGTATAAAAGTGTTAATTTCAGTTCACTAATTTTTTTACTTTTCCCAAGATCGATTTGTGACTAAAAATTGAGAATGCGTGTTAAATTGTCCAACTGGTATTTTTTTTGAGTGTTTAACAGGTTGGGGGGAAACGTAAATTCCGCTATAATAGTGGTATTTCACTATTATAGTGAAATTACGCTATATTTCCAGTCGTGGATACCTTCAATTACACCCGATACCATTAAAGGCGTTTGAACCGCACGTCATGATGGGTATTACAATGAACAAAAACTGTCATGCTTGCATGTTTTGAATTTTAATAAATTTTCTACAGTTGCGTTTGAAAATACGAGCACTTTCTTTTTAACGGAAGTTGCATTTTTAACATAGCAACCGATGATTGCGGGGATATATAAGCCTGTTTGAATCTCACTTATTGCTCATTAATGTGCACAATTTAATGTTTGTTACAATTGTCAACTTAAAATGGAAAGGGTTTATTGAATTAAACAAGAAAAAGATTATTTCTGTCTGCATGGTTACGGGTATGGAGGCTCGTTATGGTAAACGGAAAGACCCATTATTATCGACCGCTGCTGCAGCCGATCTTTTTGTACATGGTTGTTAAATAGTGAACATGGGAAATGAGAAGTTATTTTTGTAAAAGTTCAGTATTTTAATTCTTCATTGATAACATGCATGTAGAAAATCATCAGTAAAATTTAAAATATTATTGTTATAATGTTTCAATTTCATTGTCATTTCTCATCAAGTTATTTGATAATTTTTGGCTACATAAGTCGTAAAAAGAGGTAACAAAAGGTATTACATATATATAAAAGGAAATTTTGATTTTCCGGTCGCATCATAATGACGTGGTGCATAAAGTGCATGGTTAATAAAAAATCAAAAACTCTTCTCGTAAAAATTGTTTTGAATATATTTTATAGCTGCGAATGCTGCCAATGATACAAGAATAATTTCGTTTCGACATTTTGCACAGTGCCTTACGGCATAGCCTATTTTGCAGAAAACATAGGAATTATCACGTGCATGATCAAGATCCGGGGTGCACGTGGTTCGGTCATTTTTATTTCAGACTGTCTTCAAAGCAATACAAATAATTTTTTTAATAAGTACGGATATACATATTTTAATGCATTTGCTCATCAGATATACCCTGGTATATTCATCGATGTAATAAAGTCCATAGGCGTCTGAAGCAAATTGAAAGGGTGGCTAATTGAAAGTGGGGGTGGGGGGGGGGGTGGGGTTAAACCAACACAAAAGATAAACCCCAATTTTCAATACAAAGAAAATGTCTATCCTTGCAAGAAAGTGGGGGGGGGGGGCTAGGCGCCCCTAGCACCCTCCGGTTCTGACGCCTATGAAGTCTTTGATAAAAGATTGTAAATGAAAATATACGCTTTTCAAGATTCTGCTTCAGCTTTGAATATCTTGCACTTCCATTGCATGGATATGCTTTCAGAATTGTGAAAGTACTTTTTCAAATGCTTAATTGTTTGCGGCTAATTTAAATTTGATGTTACACATCAATTTTTAATTGTGGAAAATATAAATTGAGTCGAAGATATTTTCTACACTTCTTATGCTGAGCAGTGATGATTTGTTA